TTTCTTTACCCGTTTTCGTCAACAATTAGTATCTCGATAACCGTATCCTTGATAAGGCCGAGTAATAAAAATCACCATTTTTGACTGAAAAACCCTTACATATTATTGAAGATTCAACAACGTACATGATAATCATATATGGATCACACATAAATATTTGAGCACAACGCTTTGTAGTGAATTTTACATAGCAAACCTTAAGTAAAATAAGACAGGACTTAATCTGATACAAACCCTTGCATTCATTTGGTGCCGCACAAGTTTGTTTTGGTACCATTCTTTCATACTGCATACAAACTTCTGCTGAAAAGCAGCAGTTTTAAATGGATATTGGATCAAGGAACATTGCAGGGATGTCATCTTCCACGTATTCTGGATTTGTGAATCCATCTCCATGCTTGTAGAACAAATACGACACTCGAGCAAAGTTCAAATGTCGTATGAGCAGATTTCTGGGGACGGCTGTTGGTCTCATGCGTTCTTCATTTACATCCTTCCATGCATCCTCCAGCAGTTTCTTAAAATCTCCAAGTGTTTCTTCCTCTGAAAGGCTGTGTTGTTTCATGTAACATTCAATGCCAGAAGGGGCATGTTCTCTCAATTGCTCGAACTTCAATCGGAACAATCAAACCAGTAATTAATTGATAGAATTTATTATAGAGAGATCTTTTTTTCTTGATCAGTGCATACCTTATGCGACACTATGTCATCCATGAGACGACCTATAAAATTTACGGCACTCATGATTTTGGGTTCCTTTCGCAGCCACTCAAACGCTTCTATCCCTGCCATTTCCCCCATTCCAATGAATGCTATTGTCATCAATACATCAAAAGTGGATGTCTTCATTGCAACGCTCATATCCTCCTCAAATGTTGGTACATAACCATCATAGTTCCATTTCACCTCAGCATGATAGTAGTTTGCTAGTTGAATGAGCTAAATTGTACGGCGAATTAGAATGAACATATGGAAAAACATTAAAATGGACGAGTATAAAATACAACCGGTTAATATAAGGTTAAAATACGGTAGATATCAGTTGTAATTGAAAAACTTACTAAGAGCGTAACATTATAGAATAATTTGAGTAATATTTTAGGTTTAAGCCAAATATTATGTTCTCCATAACTAGTAGTGCTTAATGAGTTAAGTAGCTCATGAATTGATCGAACTCGACTCGGTAAAAACTCGATCACTGATCGATTCGGGTTGACTCAACTCGAGACCTTAGCAAGTTTAGTTGAGAAATGTGCAACTCGACTTGATAAGTCTGCGAGCAGTTCGTTAAATTTTTTTATAATTTTTTAATATTTACCTTAATAAATCATTCATTTCACAAAAAAAAGTCTAAATTGTAATTACTAATTTGCTAATAAATAGTAAAAAAGATGCTAAATCATTAACTAATAATTGCTACTAATTTATTAACCTATTAATTTTATAATAAACATTAATTAATATTTTTTTATTTACTAAACCAAAAAAAAACTCTAGTTAACCATTTATCCTACCCAAAAATTATGGTGAGCTTAATGAGCAACAAGTCAGTCGAGCAACAAGTTTTTTAAATGAGCACAAGTCAAACAAAATTTTAATGAGCTTAACAAGCAACAAACCGAGTCGAGCAATAAACTTTTTTCATGAGCACGAGTCAGTCGTGCACTGCTCAACTCACGATTCGCTAGCTCAATAAATACATGTATTAACAAATCATGTAAATTGCATAAGTATTTCAGTTATAACCTAAAAAGTTATCGTTGAGACATTTTCGGTTGTAATTAAAATTATGATCAATTTTATAATTTTTTAGATTAGACATAATCACATTTATAATTAAAATCCGTCACAAATTAACCTTGGATTAAGATGTCAACTATCCGTTTAAAACAAGAATGATGCGGGAAATGTGAGCTATTGATAATTAATCTTAGAGAATCTTTTGCATAAGGAACACCATAAGATCTTCCATCCTTGCTAGCTTCTTCAGCTATTTCATCAAAAACGGCTAGCACAGCCTTGCAGATAACTTTAGTGTAATCTTGCAGATCATCCAGAGCACCAGTATCCCACCTGAAAATTATAATAGTTCATGAACATTTACTCTAGAACTGAGGAGATGACGAAGTAAGTATGATAAGAATTAGAATAATATATCTTGTGACCTCTTCAATGTATCTATAAGACGTTGAATCTCTTGAGGTGTCCCATATGCATCAAATGTGTCATCTAAAAGCGATATAGGTTGCAATATCTTGGAAACAATTATCCGCCACTTTGTATAGCGAGTCTCATCAAATAGGGCATTAATCCATGTGTAGGCCTCCACATATCTCTCCCTCGCATAAGAAAGCTCAGAGGAAAAATTATTCTTATCCCAAAACCTGCAACATAAAAGTACCCTTAACATGCATGCAAAAGTTATCAGAAAGTAGCCCTCAAAGTGATACAAAAAGCTTTCTTTTTGTACCTTGTGATCTGGTTTATCTCTTGTTTATGAAGTACTTGTACTCTATTAAAGTCTAGCTTTGCAAACTTAAGTAGGGTCTCGTCTCTTGAGTCTTCCTCCTCATAGAAAGAGATGTAGGTCCTTGCAGCAAGTCTTGGAGGCATTTGTTCAATGGCTTCAAGTTTTCCGTGGTGAATGTAAGGGCTTCCTCTAATATATACTCACCATGAACTCTCAAATGGGCTGCTTCATACAGACTTTGCATTCCCCTAACATCATCAATCAGGGTTCCTTTGAGCTTTCCATCAGCGTCCTTGAATTTCTCGAAAACATCTGATTCACATTTTGAATTTGTTAATAACATATTGATATGTAACTAGCAACTGATGTTGTTATCCTTACTGCAAGACATTTTGAAACCATATTGCCTGAAAACTCGAAACACAATCGAAGTGGAGCTTAAGTCAAGGTCATTTAGATAGTTTTGATGGGAGTTGAAAATGCTTTCCAGTTGGTTTTCAATATCGTTCTCGAATTGATACGACAGACCAAGACGAAGTAGAGTATCTATAAATTTAACATTCTCGTTGGGATCAGCTGCAGAAGCCATCAGCATGTGCTTCACTTTCTCCCTCAATGGATCTATTTCTTTGGTTAAAGAATCAAATACCTGAGACTGCTTGAAAAATTAAGTAGAGTACATCATAAATAAAAATGTAGAGTACATGTATGGAAGATTACCAAGTCATGCGTAGGAGGAAATTGATCTCTCCATATGTCTTTGGGGAAAGTTGCAATCGGCCGGAAAACTTGGCTCTCCTCTTTGTACAACATATTTTCTCGGAATATAATTGATAAGTGGACGATTCTTTTATCTTTGTTATGCTGTTCGGCTTCCAAATCCCGAGTCATATTTATAGGCTTGTTATACCTCTTGTACAAGTTACGTTAGACTGCATTTCTCGAGTCATAAAATTAAAAATTTTAAAAATTGAGTTATCAAAAAAAAGTTGTTGAAAGTTAAACGATTAAACATATAATTTATCTTTTTATTAGGTTATAATCATCAGTATATGTCTATCTATCTATCTATCTATATAGATATATAGATAGATAGATACATAAATAAATAGATAGATAAGTAGTAGATATGTCCATCTATCTATATATTTCACACTCTAATTAGAAGTAAATAAAAGCTAATTGTATAATGTTGCCTTTTTCAAAGGATTCATGTAGTTGCTGTATATTGTTTGTATTATCATTAACTATTAATATAATTAATTTAAATAATCATATGTTGTCCCGCCTTATTATGTTAAAATGTTTCTATATGGTCAGTACTTATGAACATGATATCGAAGATGAAGTTCTTTAAATAAAAAGAGATTATATCTTGAGGATGATAAATTGATTTGCCAATGTTGCGATATTTTTTAAATAATCTGGATTGATTATAAAGTAGTATATGTTTTGAATTTTTCTAAAGCTTTGACAATGCATATACACTCCACATACGCAGTTGCTCGAACTTAGGTCCTCTTAAAGAATAATACTCCATTTTACCGCTGGAGCTACTCGATGAGTTCATAATGTCTGGGATTTTCTTCTTGATCAAGCTACCATCTGCATATCGGGTTAAACCATCTAATGAGACAATGCTGGTTTTTGAAGCCCAATGGTAGGAATGTCCATTGTTATGTTAGTTCGAGATGATTCAAGTGTTACCATTGTAAGATAATCTCTCAAGAACGGACATAATAATTTAAGTTAGGACATAAGATTTTAAAAACAAATATTTCATAAAATCTAGCAAAGTCGACTGATATTTATTATTGGATGAAATCCGGAAGATGAACCGATGAGGTGGATGATAATGATATTACCTGCTGTGGAGCTCTTGGTCAGAAATTAGGCATCTCTTAAATGCCACCTGCCAAAATTTTCCACGTTTAGCAGTTTGGGGTTCAATCATTAATAAACCAAGGGGAGTTTTAATTAGGCTTTGAAAATATTTTTGTTTGCCCTGAATTTGCTTACAGGGATTGAGCCCTTGAATTCATGATGATTAAAGTCATTTGTGGCTGGGATATGGCCTCCGAATGATTTGACTTCAATATTTTGGGTCCCCAGCAGAACCCGGATCATCAATGTAGGCACCAAAGTCTTGTGATTTTTTTCAAAGCAGTCCTCTACAAATATGCGTTATATATATCATGAATCTTTCCTGCCCTGCATGATTTGCATTAGCTCCCTTTCACATTTTAGAATCCTTCTGACCATAAAATTATTGTCAATTCGTATCCATTTCAGAATTCAAACCAAACACATCGATTTTCAAAGTCTTGGTCGTTCTATAAATGTGAAAGCCAGAAAATCAATCTCTGTGTAGTGAAATTCGGCTTAACCTTAGACATTTTGATTCTTTACTTTACTAGAATTTCGGTCTAGTCTTAATCTTAGATCGACATTGTTTACTTTAAGCATCATCAAAATTTAATCTTTAAAACGAATTTCGATAGACGCTTGATTGAGAAATATTTGAAAAAAAGAAAAATGATCAGATGGATGTTTTATTTTATCAACCATACATCTAGAAAGGCCTAATTAAAGTGACCAAGTTAGGAAAACCAACAAAATTCATAACGAAAGCATAGTCAAAACTACTACGAAAGCCCCTTATGAACTACTACTGTTATATATTTGATTCGGATAGCAGAACTGTGCGCTATGAATGAGGGCCACAATGTGATAACGACATGTGCCCCGTATCATGTTATGGCTTCGGTTGCATGTCATACATCTCAGGAACCAGTGGCTCAGCTGCATTGTTTGACAAATTGTTCCGGTTTTCATCCCTGGTTACTTCCAGGCCAAGTTCGATTTCCAAGTACTGCAACCACTTATTGTTTTCAGCTTCATTCAATCGAATCTCATCGGGCTGGAACCATCCTAAGGTATCCAACTTGTTCCAAAAGTCCAAATCCGACTCCAACGGGATATCGACGGCGGTATCGGAGATATCCGGCTTTGTTCACCTCCTCTGATGCGTTGTTTGCACCATAAACTCCTATGACATCGAACGGTGAACCCCCGTGATTTTCGGGATTTAAAGTATCAACTCGACTGGTATCGGTGACGTTGGAGTTACTGGAAGAGATTGAAGAACTTGGCAAAGCTTTTAGCTCCTCGGATGCCTCTATGCTTCTTTCGCCACACGAAAACGACAAGAATGTAACAGAAGAGCATGATGAGGAGGCCTTTGAAGCCAATCTCTTTTTCAAATGAGTGTTCCAGACGTTCTTAATCTCATTGTCTGTTCTTCCTGGTAAATGTGAAGCAATTTTGGACCACCTGTGAAATTAATATAATCGTAACGTACGATATCAATAAGCCAACAACCAAGTAAGATTAAAAGCCTACTTCTAGTTTGAAAGTTGAAACTCACTTGTTTCCCAGAGTCTCATGTAACCTTATTATAGTTTCTTCTTCCTCTTTGCTGAAGTTCCCTCTTTTGACATTTGGTCTCAGATAATTAATCCATCTTAAACGGCAGCTCTTTCCACACCTCAGTAGCCCTACAACATAATCCAAAACAAAAAAGTCAAACTCTCGAAAGCTGTCGTGTTTATCTGTCGAGAGAGTGACGGAAACAATGATGACAATTCAATGTTTTTGCCTTCAGATTTCAACTAACGATGGATCAAAAATAAGACATAACTTTGGCGCGTTGGGATGCTTATATCAGAAAGGGAAATCAAAACAACTTCATCATTGTGTTAAGATGTCACAAATTTTCACCTCCTAAGGGTGATTTCATGATCTATCTAGCTACGAATACATGATTTTACGTCATGGGTGTGAAAGTAGAAAGTGATATTAGGGGAAAAAATTCGAAATTACAAAATTTTACAGGATAGGAAATTAGATCCTTAATATTTAAACTATATGGTGATTTGAAATTTTTATGAAATACGATCATGCGCATCCCTGCTCGACTCATCTCTCGATTCAATAATTCTTTAATGTTTAATACAAAATGAAAAAAAAAAAGTTGTGACAATCTGATGTTGGCCCTCAATTGTTAAGCTGCCACAACATTTTAGGTAGAAACATTACAAAACAAGGAAAACTTCATGGTTTCTTACCAAACACAAGCAAGGAGAAAGAGTTAAAACATTTCGTTCAGCTAACATTGATGAATTTAATAAAGTAATTCATGGTAAATTTGAATAATTTCTTCATTGCAGAAAACGTTTCAGATTTGCAGACAAACAGCAAAATATTTGCAGATTAGTCGGCAAATTGACAGAATTGAACAAAAGGGTCATTTATAAACTCGGTTACCAAAAGAAACGAGCAGAAGAAATGTTGTTTGATTCTATGCATGCAGCCATGAGAGAAAGAGAAGAAGAGAGACTGACCAGCATGTTTAGGGAGAGCTCTCCAGTTTTCATGGCCATATTTCTGAATGAAAGTGATAAGCCTCAAGTCCTCTTGGGGACTCCATGGACCTCTCTTCACTTTGTCCTTATCACAACAAGGAGCTCTTCCATTCCCCATATAAACTAACTTCCTTCCGTCTCCACCACTCACATATCAGATTTTTCAATCACAACCAAGACTCTCTTTATACTTGCACACCTGTGTGGTGTGTCTATATATATTGACAAACAAGGATTGTAGGAGTAATTCAATTTAAATATTTTTCTATCGACGTGATAAAAATATCGAACGGATACAAATCTATCGCAACATATACGATTTTTAAATATCAATTTCAAAGTAACAATAAATATGTGAAGAACCCTACCATAGTTAACCAACAGTTGACATCTCTTACCAACAGTTGACATCTCTTACCATTACTATGAATGCATAAACTCTATTTGATTTGATCCAAATATAAAGATATAATGACGCTTGAATGTGTAGTGTCCAATTATGGCATGTCCAGTTTTGTGTTGCGTCTACTCTCTTTTTTGGTATGTAAAGATAATAGGATTTATTGCCTATTCAAGCTGCTTTTAGAGGATTGGATTGGAAATTTTGTTAAATTAATGAGGTTGTTGTTAACAAAAAAAAAATAGAGGCGTAATTTTATGTTAAGAGATTCAAACTTAAAATTTTATATTAAAATTATAAAGAATACGAAATTGGATCATCAATAAAGAATATAAAGAATATTTAAAATATACATGAATTTTAAATTTTTTGGGAGCAAAAATTATGATAAATGCATCATAATAATTTTTTTCTTGGGTGAATCTCCAACTCGGACTATTTTGCATACACAATAACTCAAACTCGAAATATGCTTAAGCGGTATCAAATTACTTATCACTTGAACCAACTTGACGATACATCATAATAAATTTATAAGTGCTAGGCTGGATTATAAAATTATTCCAACTGCTTAGTGGGGAATATTTTTTTCTTGAATAATTACTACCTAAAAGAGGAGAAGGGAATTTTGTTTTTAGTAGATATTGAACTTATAACCTAAATAAGAATGAGATGTGTTAATAACCATAATTTTTAACCACTTGTTATAGAGAATGTTGATTATTAAGATAATTTTTTGATTCTGCATGAATGATGTCAAATAAAATACGCCGCATAGCATTGTTTTAGCACATGTTAAAAAATAAAATTATTTTATTATATATTAAAATGATAAACTTGTACATGCACATACAATGAATGTGTCAAATAAAATTAATATAAACAAAAGAGATGGTTGTAGATAGAGATAAATGTATAATTTTTTTAAGAGGTGTGAATTTAAAAGATTATATTAAAAATATAGAGAGTATAGAATTAGATTATCGATATAAGATATATAAAAATATTTAAATTATATAAAATTTAAAATTTTCAGATAATGCAACTGCGCCTCTAATATATATCAATCTATCCATCTCTAGCTGTAGACCCTATTAAAAGGCAAGATTACCTGCTAAACCTAACAAGCTCAATCTCTAGATAGGATATATGAATTTGGTTAAAAAAAATCATCGTTTCTAATTCAAAGTAAATAATAGAATTAAATTTGATTATCAAAAATTCATTTTAAAGTTTAAATATAATAACATAAATAGAAAATAGAAGTATCTTTTAGTACTTTATTATTAGTTATTTAAATAATAAAATAAAAATTCAGAGTTAATCTAAAATATATCGAAATTAAATATAAATAATATATTTTTAATTAAACCAAAATGACTAATAAATTATTGTGATCATTTTTTCTAAAATAAAACTTAAGTGTCATATTTGTGTTGGGTCTGCCTCTTCCTTCAAAATGGGATCCTAATGGGAGTTAGGAGTGAGTATTGATATTGTTAAGTTAAGTCGAGTAAAAAATATTTATGTTATTCAAGTTGATGAGTATTATTTTATAATTTAGATTTTATTTAAATTTTATTGAGTTGAGTCTCAAGTTTATTTGTTTAATTTTTATTTAAATTTAATTTTAAATATTGTAGATACTCGTTTTTGTCCGGATCAAAAAAATATACTATTATTATTATTATTATTATTATTAATAAAATTAAATTACATTTTGCAGGTAGATACTCGTTTTTGTCCGGATCAAAAAAATATACTATTATTATTATTATTATTATTAATTAAATTAAATTACATTTTGCAGGCCTACTCCCAGCCCAGTTACAAGCCCAGCAGTACACACCCAAGACCCAGTTGCAAGACCTGGATCCGGATCCGACCCAAACCCAGCACTCAACCCATTCAACTCCAACCCCCACGTATCTCAACCATTTTCACTACCCCACCACTAAAAAATCACCTACTCCACTAAACACACTACAAATCACAAAAAACAAAGCCACATTCAACTATAAATGAGGCAGGCATTCAGTAAAAAAGGGAACAGAGAATTCGCAAGGACCAAGAAAATGGCGGCAGAGACGCTGCTTAGAGTTTCGGGTTCAACGTTTTGTAATCTAAATGGGTCTCAAAGGAGGCCAACCCCTTTATCTTCTTCGACCCGTTTTCTGGGTTTTCGCCCTCGAGCTTCTTCTTCAATTTCCTCTTCACTCTCTCATTTCTTGGGAAGTGTTCGAATTGGCTCTAGACTTCCCATTTCACGTCGCCAAAAGGGGAAGCAAAGGAGCTTATCTGTCTTTGCTATGGACACTGATGAGTCGAAGCGTGCCGTACCTTTGAAAGATTATCGCAACATCGGAATTATGGCTCACATAGATGCGAGAAAGACGAAGACAACATAACTATCCTATTCAGTCTCTATAGAATTTAGTTTGTAGGATTGTTTTACGTACCAATTTGGAACATTATCGGATAATGTAGTGGCGGTATTAGTTGTGGTCACATGTGATAGTCGTATTACCGCCTTTCCATGTGTGAATTAATGGCTGACAAAAATATGCATCTCCTATCACTAGTACTTATGTCAGTTTGCTTGGCTTGAATGAATCCGATCAAGTTTCCTTTGTGATCTACTATCAGTGTTCTGGGCTCTAGCAGATCAATTATCGAAACCAGTATGCGTTAGATTCAACAAAAAAGGTATATTTGGTCATTCGGGTCGGAAATTTTATATCTCCAACAATGTTTTCCTATTTTAGTTTAAGAACCAGGTTATTTGTTTTAATTTGTTTTCTGTTATCATGATCTTGGTCTTTTTGTTACCAGAATAACAAATCACCATATGGGTCAACAAACAATAGACTCTTAAATGAGTACACTATCAAATTTTGAACTTCTGATTTTAGGGTTTTATTGAATGAAGAAGATAACTGCACTCTGTTGCTTGATTTGATTCACATTTGGTTTAAATGATTATAGTTCTTGCCACCATATGTTGTAAATGATTATTTAATGTTTATTATTATTATTAATATTTCTAACATTTTTGACTTTTTAGGGGAATTTTAACCAAGTAAAAAGTAAATAATTATGATCGAATTTTTAAATTTTAATTTTTGTAATTAATACAACCGACAAATTAAATAGTACCGAAAGGGCAGTTTAAGACGCTAATCCTTCTTTGACTGTAACCGACTCTCGAACCTGACACATTTCTGGTAAAACGCAAATAAGATAAGATGGTGTCCGATCAGCCTAAATATTTTTTTAAAAATGATTGGTGGCGACTCTAACCATTTCATTCAAGTCGAAGCCCAAGTCCAGGCCCACCTGAAAGACGGTCGCGACAAATACTTATAACTAATATAATTTAGAATGTATCTTCATGTAAATTCGATTATGAAAATTCATTTTAAAATTTAAATATAATAACATTAATAGAAAAGAAAAGTATCTGTTAGTACTTCACTATTAGTTATTTAAATAAAAAAATTCAGGGGTTGTTTATTTACCTCTTAATGGAATCATTCAGCGTTGAATGATGAACCGTTCAGTATTCAGCGCGTTTGTTTCGCACCTTCAGCAAAACAATGCTGAATGATTTAGCACAGAAGTACATTCTGAATGATTCAGAGCCATTATCAAACAACATGTCACATTCAGAGCTAATTCATACAGAACCTCTGAATCATTTAGTATTTGAATCATTTAGCGCTTAATCATTCTGAAGTAAACAAACATCCCCTCAGATTTAATCTAAAACATATCGAAATTAAATATAAATATATATTTTTAACTCAATCAAAATGACTAATAACAATCTTTCTTTCAAAATGGGATCTTAATGGGAGTTAGGAGTGAGTATTGATCTAGTTGAGATAAGTCAAGATAAAAATATTTGAGTTATTCGAGTATTATTTTATAATTTAGATTTTATTTAAATTTTTCGAGTTGAGTCTCGAGTTCATTTGTTCAAGTTTTTATTTAAATTTAATTTTAAATATTTATAACTAATATATTTTGTTAATATAATCACCGGTATTCGATCTATTGATCGATTAATCCATATCGGGTACTTCAGAGACAAGGGTGACCCTCTCAGCCCAGTTTTTCACCCAGGCGGGGAAAAGACCGATACCGACTCGGGGTTTTTCTCTTTGAAAAGATTTATTGAAATGTGAGGAGTCGCCACCAATCATTTAAGGTGCGACACCATAAAAATCGAGTGTTTTTAATAAAACATTTTAATAAAAATCGTATTATAAAATTCTTAAGTCCACTCCTGGTCTCCGATCATCACTTTTGGCTACAAATAAGTAATAGCATTGTTTGAGGCTTTGAGCTCAACATTTCTAAATAAGTCTTTAGCCATCATCAACATTATATCAAAATCTTATGTTTTATTCGAAACTTTATTAACTTTGAGTATATTATTGTAGACACCCATTTTTGTCCGGAGTTTTATAATATTATTATTATTATTATTAAATAATTATCATTTACATTGCAGGCCCAATATGAGAAACCCAATTACATTGCAAGCCCAACAACTGAGCCAGACCTACCCAGATGCAGACCCAACATAGCAAAATGGATCCAGACCCAAGGCCCACCGATCCAGACCCGGACCCGGTTGCAACAACTCATACATGTGCCATTTTTTAGTTCCACGTGAAGCACCAACATATTAGTACAATTACATGCAACACTCATTATTCCACTACCTATATTTAATAAGGTAGTGAGTATAGCATTAAAAGGAAAAT